AAATGAAGTTTTTTTGTCATGGAAATTCAACAAATTAATGAATGCTAATATATTTCAAATAATAACTCCCGACAACAAAAATATAATCAATTTCAATAGACAAATGACAGAGTCCCAGCATTCCATTAACTCACATTAGAGAACAACCAATTTCCTAAAAATAAAAATTAATACCAAATTCCGATTTCCATAAAATTCAAAACCCACGAGTTAGGACTTATTGCTTACCTTAAAAGTGAAATAGATGTCAAAACTTGACATAACACAAATATCTTCAATAGGAATACAATGTAATGAATTAACATCTAAATAGAGAATTAATTGAAAACCTAATAATGCATGGAAGTTCATAAATTTTTGTGGAGGTCATCTGGCACCAAACGAGATCATCTCTATTCGCCATTGTCTAGCTCTAATGTTGAGCAGTTGGAAAGTAGATATTCTCTTCTATCTCCGAACGTAACTTGGAAAATGGGTGTATTTTAGCTTAACTTATTTGATAGTGCTAAGTTGGTTAAACATTAATATTTAACTATACATTTTAAGATCAACAATTTTTATTTGTTCTTTAATCACACACTCCTTGAAACTCATAACGTAACACTATTTAAATAATATGGAACATTTATGAAATGTATGTTTTCTCCCAGTCCAATCTTTTTATAACTGATTCTAAATTAGATTCCAAAGTGAAAATAATTGATTGTCAACATATTCAAGTAGCACATTGTCATCTTATGATCATGAAAATTATTGATTTTCAACATATCAATTGATACGTTGTTTTGTCTCTTATGATAGGTTGGGTGTTGTAGACAAGATTTAGGATAAAGCGCGATCCTTTAGACGTGTCTAACATATTCCCACTCATACATACTTAAAAATTTAACGTCACCTAAACATACAACAAACAAATTGTATCTAACCTCTTCTTATGAACATACGATTTACTGATTGTCAACATATCGATACAAGTCATAGTCATGTTACTCGCGATGCGGGATGGGAGTTAGTGTGGTAACGGATTTAGGTAGTTTCGGGTAAGAGTAAAAGTGACACCCATTATGAGATTTTAAAGAATTTTAATGAAATAAATTTAGATTATTTGAGTTAATTGTCATGATATTTATCAAATCATAAAAACTAAAAACTATTATTTTATTTAAATTTAAGAAAAATAACAGTTAAAGATAAAGATAGCACAAAAATAAAAATATAAAAAAAAAGGTTGAAATGAGAAATTTACATTTACTTTTGCTATTGGAGAAGTTTATGTAATTTTTATTCGAGGCAATATTAGAGATTCATTTACATTTAGAAAACCATACTAATCTCCATAGTTTTAGTTTTCAAATATTTCATATTTTCCTGACAACTTGAGTCATATATCATCTAAAATAAGGTTGATGTTACTAATCATATATGAAGCCACGTGGGGGCACCATGCGCATACAAGTGGCAGTCAATCAAGACAAAAAATAAAAATAAAAAATGAAGAAGGCAAGAATTGTTTTCCCGACCAAGGCTTTATCTCCATCAAAACTCCACTACCGAAGTGCTTCCTCTCAATGTTGAACTCCTCCATGTCCAAATCTTCCTCTTATGGCCGAAGTGCTTGTCTCCTTTAGAGCAAATATGATGAGTGTATCTTTAGAAATAATTGATGTAACGTTTGCATTAATAGATGTCAAATTTGTCAGCCTAAGAATGTAGGCGGCAGACTCCTTGTCAAATGTATTTGTCAATGTAATTAATGCACGAAAGAGTGATATAAGACTTCGATCAATTAGATGGAGCCACGTGGATATGATAAACGACGACCAGTTCAGTTTGATCACTATAAATAATAGCTTTCGAAACATTGTAAAGGATGAAAAAAATATACATTCAAGCAAATAAACTTATCTTCACTCTCTTCATGTTTGTGTAAGTAAAAAAGTTATTTCTTGTTATGATTGTTCCTGACTATGTGTGTTTCACTCTCACATTCATAATAAGCCGTTGAATCTCTAACCAGGTATTCGGGTAAAACCTGACGAAATTTGCTCAAATGGACTCAAGTGGAATCCGACACCTGTTGACACATTTTTTGTGATCAATGGTTGATATACGTAAATTGACATTTGGAAAGTTGAAATAATTTTATAGTTGTGATTAATTTGTTCAAAGTAAACTATATAAATATCTTGCAACGTTATACAAAACTCGTGGGATATAGTTTAAACTTTGATCATATGAATTTACCTAATTTGTTTATAAAGGATATTATTTTTCTGAATATATATTTTAGATGAATTATGTATATTGGGAGAGAGATACGAATGTGTGGAGGAAAATATTCCTGATCAAACAGGCACTTAATACGTTGTGTTTTCACGAGAAATTTAAATTAATCATTAATGAATTTATTTTAAAATAATGAACACCAATATATATAGTATGTAATGGCATTAAATGATAAATCTAATTAAAACTCATTTAATAGGATCTATCATTTATTTTTATATAGGATGGCATTTTACTACCAGTGCATGGTGATGCGATATAGTGTTGCTCTTTATTTTATCAACAGAACCATATTCTGTAATCTATTATTTTACTAATATTAATAACTCTTAATTAATTAGAACAACGAGAACTGATTGTCCAAATCGAGTGCTTTATTATCCCCTATACTTCATTAAAAATTCTAATTTAATAAAATATTAGTATTTAATTTTTTGAAAGTTTTCGAACTAATTAAGCTTGTTTGGGAGAGTTTTCTTAAGATTTTTTTTTTTTTGGAGAATGCGAGGTAAAAAGGTAAGGAAATGTATTATGACACATGATTTTTTATTTTTTTTAAAAGAAAATGTAGGCGAAAATGACTTTTAAAAAATCCTTCCAAACAAGGATTTGCAAATAAAAGGTTAGGTTTTGAATGAGTTTAAGTATGCATTTCCTTCGTTACAAGTTTGATCTCTTGTTCCCATTTCAGAGAATTATAAGTATGATTCTATAACCATATCAGTAATAGAAAATTTTTATCTTGTTCACTGAAGATTCCATCCTCATTATTTAAAACTTTGTAAATATGTTAAATTAGATAAAATCGGACACACAAAATTTGGCACGTGAATCAAAATAGTAACCCAGGAAATAATCTCCTTGGTCAACAGTCAACGCATGAAAATCGCTTTGGAATGAGAAGTTATGATTGAACAAACTAGGAGGAAGCTGAGATTTGACTTAAGTAAACTTAGGGTTGAAAATGGGCTAAAAAAAAAAAAAAAAAAAAAAAAGAGAAAGAGTAGAAGTACAACGTCTACAGATTTGGATTCAAGTTCTTTATTGATCACAACTTCTGTATTCATTATTGCCTTCATTGCTGCTTCTCCAGTAAATATTGATGGTATTCATGAACCTATTTCTAGATCTCTACTTTACAATGATTTTCACCTTAGAATGTTTGTACTCAAACATAACGGGCATGCATTTCTCTTTGTTTTGTTGACATGAAATATTATTGCATGGTAAAAAAAAAAATTATAATAATATAACATTTATATGTGGTTAGCAGAAAGCATAATGGGAAAATTTGCAGGTATCATGCTTTCAAAAAAATGTATCGCGATCCTAACTTTTCAACTGCAAAACCTATATTTTAACCTTTTAATGGATGTGAGATATGAGGACCTAAAGACGGATTTTGTCCATCGGATCATTAGTTGATAAAATGTCAAATTTTTTACCATTTTTAAAAGTGCAAACTGATACCTCTATGTTTTTCACCTAAAACAATTGAAATAGTTAAATAAAAAGAAATTAAAAAAGAAAGAAAAATATGTCTTCATTGTTTTGATATCATTAGGATTGTTAATGAATTGAACTTTTATTCGAATTCGATAAAATAAAAGGGAGATAGATTTAGGATCATAATTCGATAACTCGATCAAAATTTGAATTCAATAATCCGTTAACTAAATAGAGCAAATATGAATATAAATTAATTTGATCCAATAACAATCCAATTTGATTTGTTATAAATAGTTGAGTCAATTAAATATTTTTATGGCATGTTATTTTGCCACTAAAGTAAATAAATAAGAAAATAAAGAAATTTAGAATAAAAACATCATCAAATTCAAAACATAAAAGAAAAGGAAAAATAAGAAATTCAAAAAAGGAATAATGTTTGAAAATAATTTTTCGCGAAACACATCCATAGGTTGAAATTCAAACCTATGGTTAGTACAAGTCCCAAGGTAATCTCATTGCAGCTCAAAAATTGAGACGCATATCCATCATCATCGTTGAGTCAATAGCAATCTCTGACACAAGTATCATTCACCCTCATCTGACTCCCATTAATTTTCATTCCATTACATTTAATTTATCTCTTTTCTATTTTTGATCACACGATCTTCCATAAAATAATATTACACATAAATCGAAAACTTTTCTTTCTTTTTCAATCACTCATTTTTCAAAAAAAAAAAAAAACTTATTTCACTCATTTCCATTTCTACAAAATTGGGGCTCAACATAAATGAAAATTTTCAACTAAAAAGCCCAGGTTCATAGTCCATTTTATTCAAAATACATTTTTTTTTCCTTTTTTAATAAGACATTCTTTAATAAAATATTATTATACCTAAATTCAAAAAAAAAAAAAAATTTTTTAACTACAAATTATTAAAAAAATTTTTTTTCCAAATATTTGATTTAATAGAGCTCATATATATATCTTTTTGTGACATGATTGTTGATATTGTAACTGTTGATCGGGTAAAAAAAAATTTAAGAGCCCTGCTATAGAAACAAGGCTGCGGGACAGGGGTCGAGCTGCCCAAAAAGCCTGTCATGAGGCCTGTTTCTTTAGCATAAATCAAATTGTAAATGGTTCAATGTGTTGTAACGTGATAAAGTATAAAAAAATGATGTAAAAGACTTGATTGTATATACATACATATTATATATATCTATCTACCTCAATCTTTATATGGGGTAAGGCCAGTTAGGTCGTAATCTACAATCTTAGATTGTATTGCACTAGCCTAAGAAGGGCTGCAACTCCTCAGCTGAAAAGAGACCATCCCATTTCTCCTCCTTATGTCTCCTCTTTATCCTTTATTCGTTTGGATTCTCATTTCTATAAAGTCCAAGACATACAAATAGAGAGAGTGAAGTTCTTGGGTTCTTTAGAGAGAGAAGAAGAAGAGTAAGAGAAGAAAAAGATGGCTGAGAAAGATGATGATTTAAGTTTGAGCTTGAGATGCCCAGATAACAAGAATCTGTTTCCATCCACTTCCAATTTCCCCTCGAACCTCATGAGGCCTGCTTTGCCTTTTATGCATTATCATGGGAACGATCTGTTAAAATCACCTGCTGGTAAATTACTGTTTTCTGTTTTTTATGCTTTATTTTGTGAAGAACATGAATCGTACCGTTTTCATATGGTTTTCCTTGCCTACTCTGTGCTAGCATTTTTTATTTCCGACAAAATGATTGTAAAAACTATGATTTTCATAGAAAATTATCTCCTTTTAAGAAGTTGCCTCCCTTTTTAGCCTTCAATCTGTGTAATGGATTTTTCTTCTACAGTAGTCGAATTTCCAATAAAATGAAAATATAGAAGCAAAAAATGAATATTTTATTTAGAGAAAATCAACATTTTTTAAAATTCCCAAACCGCATATCTGAGACCAAATCGTTTCTTCGAGGAATCGATGTGAACCATCCGGTAACTGTAATAGACTATGAGGAAGTAGTGATGGCGTCATCACCAAACAATACAGTGTCAAGTGTGAGTGGAAAGAGGAGCGAGAGAGAGGAGAACGACGGTGAGCGAGCCACTAGCTCTTTGGAGGAGGATGACATCGACGATGGAGCAGGGAGGAAGAAACTGCAGCTGTCCAAGGAGCAAGTGGCGGTGCTTGAAGAAACATTCAAGCAATATAATACTCTCAGCCCGGTTAGTGATATTTTGCTAAATATTTCAGTCGGTCAGGGTATTTTTGTGTGCTAATCATTGCTAATTAAATTGAAAAGCACAGAAGGAGGCACAAGTTTTTAAACCATTGGTTTTGTGAGGTTTGTAGAAGCAAAGGTTGGCTTTGGCGAAAGAGTTGAATCTGAGGCCTAGACAAGTGGAGGTGTGGTTTCAGAATAGAAGGGCAAGGTTAGTTATTAATCAACCAAGTCAAGGGTATAATTGGCCTTCAAATAAATTGTTAGGATATGTTTCTGAAAAATGGTAATTTGTTATGTTACTAGTGCTAATGGTTTTGAGTGGAAAAGTAACTAATGAGGAGTTTATACAACAAAGTAGTCGATTTGTACATTGAATGTCATTTACAAATGATGTAGGATCAAATTGAAGCAGACGAAGGTTGGTTGTGACTACTTGAGGCGGCGATGTGAAATTCTAACAGAGGAAAACAAGCGGTTGCAGAAGGAAGTGAACGACCTAAGAGCATTGAAGCTCTCCCCACACTTTTACATGAACAAGAACCCTCCGACCACCCTTACCGTGTGTCCTCAGTGCGAACATGTGGCTGTCTTGTCTTCATCATCCTCAGCTACTCAACAACCTAATCTGGATGCGGCCCACCACCAACGCCCAATGCCTATGCCCGTATCGAAGTTTCAATCTTAAAATAAGTGTAAAATGGTAATCGGTTCTCTCCGATTTTGCCATCTAAAACTAGGATGAGGGGATCTGAAAGTCTGCTTTATATGGAGAAAGACTTGTAAAGGATGGTCTAGATAGGTTGGTGCTTATAGATTGATAGGGTTATTTAAAGAGAACCCTAATTCTCTTTTTTGTGTTTTTATCAATAGAAGAATGGTTATGTTAGGCAAAAGTTGGATTTAATGTTGGAGATGGAGGTAACATTGTTGAAACTTTTTGCTTGTTTAATAGAATAATAACTTATAATATAGTTAGTTTAGTAAGAGGCTTGTGAACAAGGTTATTATGGTTACAACATTTTTTAAGAATGTTTTTAATGCAAAATGATTAGATTCTTACTCTTAGGTTGCTTAGGAACCTAATAATGTTATTCAATACCATTGATGTGAAGCATTAATTTAGGTAGCAATTACATGTCATTGAATGATAGCAATGTCACATGATTCATTTAATTGAACTTATCAAGTATACTTAATATGTCCTACACTATCTAATCGCATGGTTGTACATCCTAACTTTTGCCATACATGGCATACAATTCTTCGACTTACAAATCTCGACATAATCATCTTTTTTCTGTTCGTAGCGGCTGAGGTCCTTGTGGATTGAATTCATCCAAATGTACATTAAAATGGTGAGTGCTGTGCGCATGTCTAAATTTTTTAACAGGGCAACGCAAATATTATTTTAATGTCTATCGGACTTCACTTAAAAGTATCTTCGTTATTAGACAAGTATAAAAAGTTGACGATCAAGCTGTTAGTATTGACAGGTTAATGTATTTAGCTATCCATAAATTGGTGAAAATGAAGAAGTATCTCTTTTATTGATATTTCATTAGAATCATTCATTTGAAATGCACGTGGACAGTGTACCCAATAGGGCTTACTTGGAAAGTTGCCCCGATCAAAACCCATTGTACCCAACGCCTTTTTTATTATAAAATTTTTTGAAAAAATAAAGAAGTTCAAGCTCGACAAATTTACACCTATAATATGAGAATTAGATATTTTTTTGATGAGGTTCGAACGGTGCTTGAAGAAACATTCAAGCAATATAATACTCTCAGCCCGGTTAGTGATATTTTGCTAAATATTTCAGTCGGTCAGGGTATTTTTGTGTGCTAATCATTGCTAATTAAATTGAAAAGCACAGAAGGAGGCACAAGTTTTTAAACCATTGGTTTTGTGAGGTTTGTAGAAGCAAAGGTTGGCTTTGGCGAAAGAGTTGAATCTGAGGCCTAGACAAGTGGAGGTGTGGTTTCAGAATAGAAGGGCAAGGTTAGTTATTAATCAACCAAGTCAAGGGTATAATTGGCCTTCAAATAAATTGTTAGGATATGTTTCTGAAAAATGGTAATTTGTTATGTTACTAGTGCTAATGGTTTTGAGTGGAAAAGTAACTAATGAGGAGTTTATACAACAAAGTAGTCGATTTGTACATTGAATGTCATTTACAAATGATGTAGGATCAAATTGAAGCAGACGAAGGTTGGTTGTGACTACTTGAGGCGGCGATGTGAAATTCTAACAGAGGAAAACAAGCGGTTGCAGAAGGAAGTGAACGACCTAAGAGCATTGAAGCTCTCCCCACACTTTTACATGAACAAGAACCCTCCGACCACCCTTACCGTGTGTCCTCAGTGCGAACATGTGGCTGTCTTGTCTTCATCATCCTCAGCTACTCAACAACCTAATCTGGATGCGGCCCACCACCAACGCCCAATGCCTATGCCCGTATCGAAGTTTCAATCTTAAAATAAGTGTAAAATGGTAATCGGTTCTCTCCGATTTTGCCATCTAAAACTAGGATGAGGGGATCTGAAAGTCTGCTTTATATGGAGAAAGACTTGTAAAGGATGGTCTAGATAGGTTGGTGCTTATAGATTGATAGGGTTATTTAAAGAGAACCCTAATTCTCTTTTTTGTGTTTTTATCAATAGAAGAATGGTTATGTTAGGCAAAAGTTGGATTTAATGTTGGAGATGGAGGTAACATTGTTGAAACTTTTTGCTTGTTTAATAGAATAATAACTTATAATATAGTTAGTTTAGTAAGAGGCTTGTGAACAAGGTTATTATGGTTACAACATTTTTTAAGAATGTTTTTAATGCAAAATGATTAGATTCTTACTCTTAGGTTGCTTAGGAACCTAATAATGTTATTCAATACCATTGATGTGAAGCATTAATTTAGGTAGCAATTACATGTCATTGAATGATAGCAATGTCACATGATTCATTTAATTGAACTTATCAAGTATACTTAATATGTCCTACACTATCTAATCGCATGGTTGTACATCCTAACTTTTGCCATACATGGCATACAATTCTTCGACTTACAAATCTCGACATAATCATCTTTTTTCTGTTCGTAGCGGCTGAGGTCCTTGTGGATTGAATTCATCCAAATGTACATTAAAATGGTGAGTGCTGTGCGCATGTCTAAATTTTTTAACAGGGCAACGCAAATATTATTTTAATGTCTATCGGACTTCACTTAAAAGTATCTTCGTTATTATACAAGTATAAAAAGTTGCCGATAAGGCTGTTAGTATTGACGATGTTAACGTATTCAGCTATCCATAAACTGGTGAAAATGAAGAAGGCATCTCTTTTATTGATATTTCATTTTCTTGAATACCAAAATTGAATAAGGTATCTCTTTTTATCTCATTAGTTCTGTCTGATGTCAATAGCTGAAGGAATCATCTGATGAACAAAAGGGACACATATTGAATAACTCATAAGAAAGATGGCCTAGAATCATTCATTTGAAATGCACGTGGACAGTGTACCCAATAGGGCTTACTTGGAAAGTTGCCCCGATCAAAACCCATTGTACCCAACGCCTTTTTTATTATAAAATTTTTTGAAAAAATAAAGAAGTTCAAGCTCGACAAATTTACACCTATAATATGAGAATTAGATATTTTTTTGATGAGGTTCGAAAGGTATAAGTTTACTTCTTCTACAGCCGTCTATGCAAGAGCAAAGCATTTTGGTATGTTGAAATTATTTTAGTACATTTATATGTCACTAATTTGCATAGAATAGGATGGGTTGGATTTTGACTGATTCAATTGCAAAACCGTCAACTCCATTGACTTGGACATGATTTGGGTTGGTGGTTTTCGGATTGGACTGTCTAATCTGATAAGTACGATTGCGCTACATGTACATAATATGTTTACATAATTATTTATATACATGTGATGTAGTAAGATATGTTTTTGTTAGAATTTTTTCAATCAAATGCCCCAAAAAAACCCTTCTTTTTTATAGCTTATTCGTATGTAGATCATTATGTAACTGCTAATGTATAAGTACAACTAGCATTATTCAAAAGTTGATGTCGTAAAATCCTTTGTGCTACTATTCAACTGTGAGGATAATGAACAAGAGGCTAGGGACCTTATCCATTTATGATCCACCTAATCCAAGTGGATCGGTGTGGCCCTTTCTGTACAGCCCAAAACTAATTCCCATTTTAGATTTAATTATACAAAACATTACTTTTGTGAAAAAAATAAAAAAATTTCAAATGTACCCCCCTTTATTCTTAATTCCCTAATGTTTGCTTGTTTTGTGGAATATTCCCTTATCTTTCGCTTTGACACAAAATATCCTAATAATCCAAACGTTTGTGAATTAAAACCTTTTCCTTCTAAAATGATGAATTTATCCTCCCTTTTCTATATTAAAAAAATAAGAAAAAAGGAAAAATAAAGAATTAATTGCATCCCTTACTCCAAAAATTTCAAAAAGTGCGAAAGTTTCCTAATTAAAAAAAAAAAACTTCTTTCTTCTCGATTTTCTCATTCTCCAAAAAAGTTATTTTTACTTGTCTCTTCCAAACAAGCACTTAATGTTCTAGTTCAGTTTTTACACACAATAAGGAATTAGGGATATATTTAAATGCTTCACATTCTTTAATGATTTATTTTCATCTTACGAAAATGATTGGCATTTTGAGGAGCAAAAGAAAATTAATATTATCTTTGAAAGTAACTCTTAATATATGGCATTGTATTATAGGCAATTACTGAAAACTTGAAACAAAATTTTGTGTATAGATGAAAGAAGGATCACTTAAAAATGATACAAAAATATTTTCCTAATTTTCTTTCATCATATCAAGCAAGGAAGTGTTCTTTTTATTTTTCTTTCTTTTCCACCCAATTTTCTTTAATCAATAAACATTTCATTATGACCCGGCCATTACAGACGGGGAAAAGAACAGAGAAAATCTCTAATAAATTTTTGAATAAATTTATTTTTGTAATAATCTAAGACTAGAGGTAGTTGAAAATCATAATCATTGAGGTAAAAAAATTACAAAATTGGTATTCGAGCATTTCCATCAAAGTGTGATATCTTAGCATTCGTGATTTGATCGAACTAAATCTTAATAAATTCATGATATATTATTATTCAAATTCGTGAAGCTTAGATTGAGATCAATAGTTCAATAATTAGTCCTTTTTTTTTTTTAATTTTTGCTGAACTTATGATGTCTGTTAAAAAAAATTGTTTTTAAGGTAGTTGATGCAGTTGTGAATATCTTGTATTGACTATCAATTAAGATAACTTCAATACTTTATTGTTGGTTAATAAAGATTACTAGTTGATATACAATCTCATAATTTTTTACTTATCGTATTGATAAGTCTTTTAATTTAAAAATTTGTCCGTCTCAAGTTCGTATAAAAGATGAGAATTATTATAATTTTCCTTTTAGGTTCGATTGTGAGAAAGATGTTTACTTTATTTAAACGGGAGAGTTTTGTTGAGAGAAAATGACATGCGCCCCCACCAACTCTTATGAATAAGAAATTAAGGACCCCCTGCTCTTTATCTGGCATCCGTTCCCTTGCTACTCACACGCACACTTCACGAAAAAATTATACCCAACCTGTTGAAAAGCACTTACTTTCACATTGTTTCCTTCAAAACTTGGGTTTAGTTTCTTGTATACTCTTTAATCTGACTTGGAATTTATCAGGTTGGCTGTCAGGGAATCATTCATTTGAAATGCACGTGGACAGTGTACCCAATAGGGCTTACTCGGAAAGTTGCCCCGATCAAAACCCATTGTACCCAACGCCTTTTTTATTATAAATTTTTTTGAAAAAATAAAGAAGTTCAAGCTCGACAAATTTACACCTATAATATGAGAATTAGATATTTTTTTGATGAGGTTCGAATATGATGTCTGTTAAAAAAAATTGTTTTTAAGGTAGTTGATGCAGTTGTGAATATCTTGTATTGACTATCAATTAAGATAACTTCAATACTTTATTGTTGGTTAATAAAGATTACTAGTTGATATACAATCTCATAATTTTTTACTTATCGTATTGATAAGTCTTTTAATTTAAAAATTTGTCCGTCTCAAGTTCGTATAAAAGATGAGAATTATTATAATTTTCCTTTTAGGTTCGATTGTGAGAAAGATGTTTACTTTATTTAAACGGGAGAGTTTTGTTGAGAGAAAATGACATGCGCCCCCACCAACTCTTATGAATAAGAAATTAAGGACCCCCTGCTCTTTATCTGGCATCCGTTCCCTTGCTACTCACACGCACACTTCACGAAAAAATTATACCCAACCTGTTGAAAAGCACTTACTTTCACATTGTTTCCTTCAAAACTTGGGTTTAGTTTCTTGTATACTCTTTAATCTGACTTGGAATTTATCAGGTTGGCTGTCAGTCTTTCTCTGAAGAGTGATAAAGTGATATTGGGGTTTTGTTAATTTTTTGCGTTTTCATAAATTAAAGCTTGGTATTGTGGGTATTTGAAGATTTTGGTTGGTGGGTTGGTGTGAGTTTTTAGTTTTTATCTGTCAAGATTCAAAAAAAGCCCTTCTTTTTGATACCTTATTCGTATGTAGATCATTATGTAACTGCTAATGTATAAGTACAACTAGCATTATTCAAAAGTTGATGTCGTAAAATCCTTTGTGCTACTATTCAAGTGTGAGGATAATGAACAAGAGGCTGGGGACCTTATCCATTTATGATCCACCTAATCCAAGTGGATCAGTCTGGCCCTTTCTGTACAGCCCAAAACTAATTCCCATTTTAGATTTAATTATACAAAACATCACTTTTGTGAAAAAAATAAAAAAATTTAAATGTACCCCCCTTTATTCTTAATTCCCTAATGTTTGCTTGTTTTGTGGAATATTCCCTTATCTTTCGCTTTGACACAAAATATCCTAATAATCCAAACGTTTGTGAATTAAAACCTTTTCCTCCCTTTTCCTTCTAAAATGATGAATTTATCCTCCCTTTTCTATATTAAAAAAATAAGAAAAAAGGAAAAATAAAGAATTAATTGCATCCCTAACTCCAAAAATTTCAAAAAGTGCGAAAGTTTCCTAATTAAAAAATAAGAAACTTCTTTCCTCTCGATTTTCTCATTCTCCAAAAAAGTTATTTTTACTTGTCTCTTCCAAACAAGCACTTAATGTTCTAGTTCAGTTTTTACACACAATAAGGAATTAGGGATATATTTAAATACTTCACATTCTTTAATGATTTATTTTCACATTACGAAAATGATTGGCATTTTGAGGCGCAAAAGAAAATTAATATTATCTTTGAAAGTAACTCTTAATATATGGCGTTGTATTATAGGCAATTACTGAAAACTTGAAACAGAATTTTGTTTATAGATGAAAGAAGGATCACTTAAAAATTATACAAAAATATTTTCCTAATTTTCTTTCATGATATCAAGCAATGAAGTGTTCTTTTTATTTTTCTTTCTTGTCCACCCAATTTTCTTTAATCACTAAACATTTCATTATGACCCGGCCATTACAGACGGGGAAAAGAACAGAGAAAATCTCTAATAAAATTTTGAATAAATTTATTTTTGTAATAATCTAAGACTAGAGGTAGTTGAAAATCATAATCATTGAGGTAAAAAAATTACAGAATAGGTATTCGAGCATTTCCATCAAAGTGTGATATCTTAGCATTCGTGGTTTGATCGAACTAAATCTTAATAAATTCATGATATATTATTATTCAAATTCGTGAAGCTTAGATTGAGATCAATAGTTCAATAATTACTCCTTTTATTTTTTTATTTTTGCTGAACTTATGATGTCTGTTAAAAAAAAAATTTTTAAGGTAGTTGATGCAGTTGTGAATATCTTGTATTGACTACCAATTAAGATAACTTCAATACTTTATTGTTGGTTAATAAAGATTACTAGTTCATATACAATCTCATAATTTTTTACTTATCGTATTGATAAGTCTTTTAATTTAAAAATTTGTCCGTCTCAAGTTCGTATAAAAGATGAGAATTATTATAATTTTCCTTTTAGGTTCGATTGTGAGAAAGATGTTTACTTTATTTAAACGGGACAGTTTTGTTGAGAGAAAATGACATGCGCCCCACCAACTCTTATGAATAAGAAATTAAGGACCCCCTGCTCTTTATCTGGCATCCGTTCCCTTGCTACTCACACGCACACTCTACGACAAAATTATACCCGACCAGTTGAAAAGCACTTACTTTCACATTGTTTCCTTCAAAACTTGGGTTTTCTTTCTTGTATACTCTTTAATCTGACTTGGAATTTATCAGGTTGGCTGTCAGTCTTCTCTGAAGAGTGATAAAGTGATATTGGGGTTTTGTTAATTTTTTGCGTTTTCTTAAATTAAAGCTTGGTATTGTGGGTATTTGAAGATTTTGGTTGGTGGGTTGGTGTGAGTTTTTAGTTTTTATCTGTCAAGATTCGTATAGGTTTTATGTTACTAATGTTAGTATCCTTCACGAACAGTAAAGTAGAATAACCTTATAATTAGTTTTCATAGTATTTGTTTAGGTTCCTTAACTTTTGATTATACAAGGGAACTGACTAAAATGCCTGATTATTTCTTTGGTTGGTCATTGGTATTCCTAATTGATTCGTCTCTTTCCACTGTGGTGTTTGTGAGGAGTCCACAGTTTACTTGTCCATTACATATCTATAAACCACTCAATACACCGACTTGGTATAATAATTCTTCTATTCACATATGTATGCGATATTCACTTTTTTCTTTTTCCAGTTTGTATTGTTAGGTGCTGTTCCATTTCCCAAAGACGTTCCACGATTGAAGGCTCTTGGTGTAGGTGGAGTGGTTACCTTGAATGAGCCATACGAGACTTTGGTCCCAACATCATTATATCGAGTATATTCATTTCTTCATAATTAACGTAGCATTTTCCATTTAAAGTTAAAAGTGTTTTCACAAATGCAACGTCGCTGATCTTCAGGGACTAAAGTATTTTGAGTTGTTAGTAGCCACTAATTTGTGCCAATGTTTTTATATATAGTTGATTATGTTACGTTTTTCTTACTCTTCATTGAAGAAAAGTTACGTAGGGTCTGTTTGATTGCAAAGATGAAATTTGGATGGAAAGAAAACGAATTCCAAGTAATTGAATTGTCTAGAAATTGTTTTCCTAGGAATTGTAAATTATTAGTAAAATTTTCCACATGGAAAATTTTGAAATAAAAGTGTTTTTTGGTGTTCGTTTGATTTTGCTTACATGAAAATTATCAATTGAAAAGATATATTTTATTGATATTGGGGATGAAATTTATTTCCATTACCCAAAAAAAATAAAAAAAATAAAAAAAATTCAAGAAAATCATCTATCTTTTGGTATTTGTTTCACTTTGTTTTACATGAAAATTGCCAATTAAAGAGAAATATTTTTTTACAATAATTCTTAGAATTTATTTTTATTGCCAACAAAAAAAAATGGCAAATCAGCCTAGAAAACCAGGAAAACCAAGAAAATGTAGCAAACCAAGAAAACCAAGAAAGGAAATTCCATGGAAAAAATTTGTTATCAAACATGACAAAAAGTGGAAGCTGGAAAACGAATTCCATTTTCCATGAATTTGGTTGCCTAGACTAAAATAACTTGCTCATTTCAAACTTGAAAGAATAAAATAAGATATTTATTTTAGAACTTAAGTAAACCTACTTATAAGTGAGTTCTTTGAGCTTAGCCAAACGTTGTATATAGATTACCTTTGTTTTCTGTTCATTCCTAACTAAAACGATGAAATATCTTGATGGTGGTAAATGAAGCTAGTCATCTGAAGTTTAATTCACATGCACCGTTAAGCCATTTGTACCGTTGACTCGTGTCTCTTAAATGTAGTGTGTATTCCTATGTGTCTATTCATTTTTACTGTGCTTGCTGTTTATAGGATCATAACATCAAGCACCTGGTAATTCCTACAAGAGATTATCTGTTTGCTCCATCATATGGGGTCATTTGCCAAGCTGTCGAATTCATCCATGGTAAATTTCATTTCATGTTTTACTCATATAAATTGGTTTTCATTATTACTGGTTAAAAAAATGCTTCAATTAATTTAATTTTTGGCCACTATCTTGTGCATGGGCTGTTAAGTGCTACTTAGCATTTTTCTAACTTCTTAATTCAGTTGTAATCTTATTTTCTTAAAAACCTTTTTGTTTTGATTTTTAAAGGTAATACATTTTGCTGCAAAACCACATATGTTCACTGTAAAGCTGGCCGAGGCCGCAGCACCACAGTTGTACTCTGTTACTTGGTAATCATCTACAATGCCACATGAATCATAACTTAATTTGTTATCAATTCTTATCTCTAATATTGACTCCATTAAAAACAGGTTAAATACAAGAATATGACACCCGAGGCTGCATACAAGCATGTGAGGTCCATCAGACCAAGGGTACTGTTGGCCTCATCCCAGTGGAAGGTATGATTAAGCTTGGTAGTTTATTTTTTGAAATACAATTGCTTCTCTTACTCAAAGCTAATGGTTGTTTATTTTTTAAAGAACTTCTGATGCCTTGAATGCATATTTCGTGTTGACACAGTCAGTCAAATTTTGATGGAGTTTCACTTTAGTCACTGAACTATTTTTTGTTCCAACTTGGTCACAACTTCCCTTACTATTTCAGTTAAATCACCAAGTCAGCTTTCATTAGTAAAACTAACAAATTATTCAACATGACATACACATTTTTGCTAGTGAAAGCGAGATGTCAAGTATCAGAACCTGCACAAAGAGTAGTAATTTTGCTCTAAGAAAAAGGTGTAACGATGTTGATATGACTCAAAAATACTGGCGTTTGTGGGTTAAATGCGAAATTTTTTAGGGATTATATTATAATAAATCTTTATTCCGATTTGGCAAACTAGGACAATCCGTTTAGTTTACTAATGGAAGCTGGTTCAATGATTTAACTAAAACAGAAATGAAAGTTGAGTGACCAACCTGAAATTTTTAAAAAGAAAGAAAAATGAAGTTGTACAGTGACAAATGAAGCTTAATTGAAAGTTAAGTGTTCAACAATGTTTTTACCAGTTATTTTCTTTCAAACCTCTATTTTGCAATTATTAGTCTGAAGGCTTTTATTATTGTTGGAAATTGATGGAGTTGCTATCCTTTTATAAACGCAGGCTGTTCAAGATTACTATTACAGATTGAAGAAACCTGGGTATGACATTTGCATGGATAATTCACCTCGTAGAACCTTAGGTATTGCTGGGAAAGTCGACTTGGAAGCCTTTGACGATAACTCTATGGTGTTAATAACAAAATCTGACCTTGATGGATATGAAGAAAGTGATGATTCCCATGTTTTTTGCAAATACATAATGGCAGACGTAAACCTAGCATGCAGGGTACAGTTTGCCAGTCAAGCAGCCATTTCTCGACTTTCTTGCTTGTGGCTTCGTTGCCATGTGAGCCGGAAAGGATCAAGAGAGAACATGGAAAGCTGTATGGGAAATAATCAGTTGGGGAACACTGGCGTTGATATTCGTGTTTATTGAGATGTCATTTTCATCACCTTGTTTTTGGTGTTCAAGTATTAGATGAGCAAGTAATAAGAATGGATTATGTATACCCCTCTCTGAAAACCAGCTCATCCTGAGATGTTATGGCTCAAGGATTTTGAGCGCTTGTGGTTTTGGAAAGTGTACTGATTATATAAATTATGCAAGGGGAAGTCACTTTGTGTACCGTGTTGTGGAAAGAAGCCTTAATCCTTATTTTCGACAATTGTTACTTATTACAAAGGGAAAATAGTACCTGGGATTAAATGGTTTCATATTCATCGTGTTTTAATGAGATTGTAGTGACAACTTAAGGTGGAAATTTTCCAGGTATGCGCGTTTTTTATCCTAAAAGTCTCTCTCCTCTTGTAAGGGGTGGAAAGCTTGGCAAGAGGTGGCTAAATCTTGTGTACTCCAACATGCTAAACAAGTTTGGTATAGTCTATCAGATTCTACTGGAACGAACCCGTGTCTTCTTTAACCACAGTCTTGACTCTAGTTCAATGTAGCATACCAAACATGCCTTGCGAAACCTGTGCAGAAATCAATATAATTTACCGATTGGCAAAGATTACCCTCTACTATAAAGTACAAACGTAAAACATAGGCACGAGGACACTAAAATGGGTAGACATTTATTGGCAGTTCCGTTAGACAAAGCCCATGTCCTCCATCCTGCTAGTAATTAAGGTAAGTCATGCTAACTCGATCCAAACCCCCCTCTCTCGTTTCTTACATTGTTTATTTTCTTTCCGTCCGACCGTTGATTTGAACGTCGGAGTGCAAACGGTCGTCAAACCTTTTTTTTCGACCGGCGGCCTTTGCCTCCTACTGGGTGCTCTGTGTACAGGTGATGAGGGGACGAGGTCGAAATTCTGTTGGCACATTTTTTGAAGTCAATATACATATAATGCAGTAACAGAATTATCTGGGGGAAAGGTTCTATAACTTCTTAATCTGTATTGAGAATCCACACCAACATTTCTTCATTCGTATTGAACTCTCTTCGTCAAAAGTCTAATCATCCACGATTAATTCACGTTCACGGTTTTGTGTAGTTATAGTTGGTGGGGCATTGTTTTTTCTTCTGGCATGTTAACTTGATGGCATCTGAAGATACGCTCTTTTGGTTGGTACGATTAGGAATTTATATAGGATTTATAATTCAGAATCTGGATGTCAGTGGAGAGCTGAAATATAGGAAAAAAGATTGAAATGTGTATTTTAGTTCAATATTGTCTATCAAAACGTTTGTGTAGCATAAGAACCAAGATGTAGAAGTATTGCTTATATGTTGTTTCAAGTCCAAATGTGTGTAGAGTGTCCCAAGAATTTAATTCATATATAGATATCTAGTTCAAAGTAAATTCTTGATGATTATAATCAATTAAGAGATTGTAATTAATATAAGAAATAAAAAGAAAACCCTCTTTCTAAGAAATAAAACTCAATTGAAAAAAAAAATGACAAAGGGAATTTTGCTTTCTATTTGTGCCCGAAACTAGTGGAATAATGTTATTCATACTCAACGATTACAGTATTCATTTTATATGATTACACGCAAAAACACAAAAAAATATCAATTTATAGAGAAATTATTATGCATTAAATGTAAATTCAAGAGGCAACCTGTGGTGAACAGAATTTCTGTATATGTTTAGAATAATAATATTTAGCTGGCATTAAATGATAGGCTAAATAAAAGGTTAAATTAATTACGTCATGTAATTCCACATAATTTAATGTCACATTAGTGTCATCTAGACTGAAATTGTAACCCCAATAAGATTAAATAACATTACTCATATGATTATGACCTCTAAATGAAACATTGAAATTTGTGTCAAAATCACTTGCAAATTTAAAAAAGTGTAATATCATCTCTAGACATAATGTTTTTAATGTTGTTCCATATTGTCTAATTCAACGTGTCAAATATACTCAAAGCCTATAGCATTGGCATGAATGCTTGGCTGTGCTTGACATTTTTTTTTTTAATTTTAAATGTTAGTTCAAAATTATCTAATTTATTGTATCAAACACGCCATCATCAGTATTGGAGATTTGGCTTGAATAGCTAGTTGTGCCCAACTCGAAACGTACAAGAATAAAGAATTCTATAAGAAAATATCTACCATATGCTATATATATTTGCCCAATTCTTGAAATGAGTTGGCCAACTGTAAGAGAGGGCCAACTGTTTGAAGACAAACTACCAACAACCCAATTGACAGATTTGAGAAAAGGATCTTCATGAGCCCTCATCAGGTTCAGAAAATGCAAACATTCCCCCCCACAGTGGAAAACAATCACCTAATTTGTGAAAACTTAGGAAGTGTGCTTGACTCAAAAAAACCCATTGAACAGCAACTGAATCACCCCTTATAAAGCTTTGCCTTCAACTTACAAATTTTCAACAAGATGGCTAAAATGGCAGCAATTTGCAATGTCTTGATCATTTCAACAGCCTTGGCGGCCACCCCTTCGATGGCAGCATCCCTGGTCACCTTTATTTTTGGTGACTCATTAACAGAAGTTGGGAACAACAACTTCCTACAACTCTCCCTTGCAAAGTCGAATTATCCTTTTTACGGGATTGATTATATTGGTGGAAAAGCAACAGGGAGATTCACAAATGGAAGAACCATTGGTGACATTATATGTAATAGATTATCCGTACTCCTTTTTTTCATTATGATTTGTTTCAAATTGCACTGAAACTTTCAACAATGAAATGACGTTATTTTTCTACATTTTATGGAAAATTTCAGCTTCAAAACTTGGGGTCCCTTCACCCCCACCATATCTTTCATTGGCACCAAATGATGATGCACTTCTAAAAGGAGTAAATTATGCATCTGGTGGAGCTGGAATTCTCAATGAAACAGGGCTTTACTTTGTAATCTTCATTTCCCTACAGACTTTTTGATGAAAATGACCTCCTTAAATTATAATCCCATAATATTAATTTGGTTTAACAATTCTTGCCTTCATATTTCATTGCTGTAAGCGTTTGCATTAGCAGATACAGAGGCTATCATTTGATGATCAGATCAAGAATTTTGAGAAGACAAAGGAATCAATCAAGGCTAGAATAGGTGAAGAGGCAGCCAATAAGCTTTGCAATGAAGCAGTCTATTTCATTGGATTAGGTATGGTTGCCAAACCAAAGAATACAGAACTTTTTTTCTATAAAATTAGTAAGTAAATGTGCTGATCTCTATGCATCTCTTCAAGTTTAAGAAATGCAACAATTAAACTGTTCCATAAGGCAGACTGATCAGATCAAGAATTTTGAGAAGACAAAGGAATCAATCAAGGCTAGAATAGGTGAAGAGGCAGCCAATAAGCTTTGCAATGAAGCAGTCTATTTCATTGGATTAGGTATGGTTGCCAAACCAAAGAATACAGAACTTTTTTTCTATAAAATTAGTAAGTAAATGTGCTGATCTCTATGCATCTCTTCAAGTTTAAGAAATGCAACAATTAAACTGTTCCATAAGGCAGACTATCACTGTTAACTACTAAAAAAACAATAAAAAAAAAAGTTAAATTTTATTTGTTATATTGTTCTAATCAAATATTCTGATTCTAATGTTCCCTCTTCAACAAAATCTTTCAGGTAGCAATGACTATGTCAACAACTTTCTTCAGCCCTTTCTAGCAGATGCTCAACAATACACACATGAAGAGTTTTTAGGGCTTCTTATTTCGACCTTAGGTGAACAATTCACAGTAAGAAAATCTTCCAATCTATCAGAAAATAAATTGTTCTATTAAAATGCTGGGAATCACTTAAAATGCAGTCACAATTAATAAGCTGCAATTTCTTGAAACTGTTTTATCAGAGGCTTTACCAACTTGGTGCACGGAAGATGATGTTCCATGGGATTGGGCCGCTTGGCTGCATCCCGTCCCAGAGGGCAAAATCAAGCCGAGGACAATGCCTAAAACAAGTCAATCTGTGGGTGCAGCAATTTAACTCCGAAGTACAGAAGCTACTTGCCAATCTAAACAGACATCTACCATCTGCACAATTTTCCTTTGCAGACACTTATCAAGCAGTTCTTGATTTAATCGACAACCCTACTGCATATGGTAAGGCTGGGTTATATATATATATGCACAAAACCAGTGTAATCATAAGTGAAGCTGATTTTGAATTTTCTAAATCAGGTTTTAAGGTATCGAATACATCATGTTGCAATGTGGACACAAAACTTGGAGGGCTTTGTGTACCTAACTCAAAGGTATGCAAGAATCATAGCGAGTACGTATTTTGGGATGCTTTCCATCCTACAGATGCTGCAAATGAAGTGCTTGCAGGAAAACTCTTCGCTGAGCTTTTCTCTCACCCTCCTTCGGCTGCTCCATTGGCATCTCCTTAAGAAGCCTATATTTAGAACAGATTAGATAACCATAGCATTGGATGCTAAGGAAACTTTGCCCCAATCTTTGATAGCCAGTTCCACATACAATGATAATATGATAAAAAATCAAAGGAGATTTAAAAGAGAATTTCAAGTTTGTATTCCTACTTTCATCTCAAATTATTCCAAGGATATGTAACATATGTCGGTACAATGTATTGAACAACATCGGATATGAATAATCATGTAGACGTAACATATTCTTGAGTTGTTCCATTCAATGGAATACTACATCAATCCACATAAGAAAGTACCTAACACACTAAATATATGGGGATATGAATAAAATAAAAGGCTTGTTTTTATCTGCCTTCCACCCATCTTTCTAATAAAAATGTTTTCTTGGAAGCTTTTGTTAAGGGAAGAGTAGAGAATCAAGAGAACAAAACAATTATATTACTTTAGCCTATGATAAAAGTTTATTTTTCAACAAAAAAAAAAAAAAAAAAAAAAAAAAAAAGAAATCTAGAGAGAGAAAAAATAAGGATACGAATTTGAACGTGGAATTTAGCTCTCAGAAAAATGGCCAAAGTTTTCCACATGAGAATACCGGAGAGGAAATCCTCAAGGATATAACCCAATGGAATCAACACTTGAAAAGAGCTTGAAAGAGCCTTCTTAATCAAATATTCATTTACTCTCATAAAAACCCCATAGAGTAAGATTCGTAAAGCCACCCGCAAGCAAATTCCAAGTGAACAAAAAGATCCCTTTAACCTAAAGTCAAGAAGATTTCTAATCCGCCAGCTCTCTTTGGTGTGGTTAAAGCAAATCAATCATCATCGAGCGAAATTCCAATACCAAAATATCAGAATTAGAGAAAAAAAAATTTTATAGAATTAAAGAAAATTTGAGGCACAAAGTTAAGAAGGAATAATGTGAAACCTACGAAAAATGCATAAATTCACTGCAAGAAATAGAAATCAGCGTGTCCATAAGTGCCGCCAAACATCTTTGATTTCGCAGCTATTCGTATTTCGTCTGCGATTTTATACTGAAACAGGGGAAATCATTCCGGACGGATGCAGGACCGGATTCCGGCTATAAAATTTCAAATCGATGCTACTTGAAAAAAAAAAAAATTTACACATAAAAGGGTAATTAGCACAAAATATCCCTACCTTTCGATATTTTTGTGAAAAACGTCCATACTTTTCATTTTTTGGTGGATTACACCCTTACCTTTACATTTTTTGCGCAAAACGTCCTTCTGTCAACTCTCCGTTAAAATGCTCCGTTAAATCAAAAAGGTAATTAGCATAAAAGGTCCCTACCTTTCAAAGTTATTGTGAAAAACGTCCCTACCTTTTATTTTTTAGCATAATTAGCAGAAAAGGTCCTTACCTTTTAATATTATTGTGCAAAACGTCCCTACCTTTCATTTTTAGCATTTTTACCCCTACATTTCACCTTTCATTGCGCAAAAGGTCATTTTCATCCATTTTTTCAATAAAATGACTATTTTACCCTCTTATTGAAATAAAACAAAAAGAAAAGAAAAAAATAATTAATTAATTGCAATCATAGTTCTAAATCTTTCAAAACATTACAGATAAATCCTAAATTCTCCACTACCGCCACTTTCACAACCCCACCAAGCCATCACCTATAGATCCATATAGCACCACTTTTCGACCACAACACATAGGACTCCACCACCACCAGCGTCGCCTCACTCTCCCCAATATCCTCCTCCATAATATTGGTCACCAATCTGTCCGAAACAACCACATTTACGGTGGTGGAGTTCGGTGGGCATGGTGGCCGAAAGGTGGTATTATGTGAATTTATAGTTGGCAGCTTGATAGGTTGTGAAAATGGTGGTGATTAAGAATTTATGATTTTTTGTAATTTTTTAAAAATTTAAGGATTATGGTTGCAGTTGGTAATTCATCTTTTCTTTTTGTTTTATTTGAATATGAGGGTAAAATCGTCATTTTATTGAAAAAATAAATGAGAATGACCTTTTTTGTAATGAAAGGTGAAAGGTAGGGGTGAAAATGCTAAAAAGAAAGGTAGGGACGTTTTGTACAATAATATTGAAAGGTAGGGACCTTTTCTGCTAATTATGCTAAAAAATAAAAGGTAGGGACGTTTTGCACAATAACTTTGAAAGGTAGGGACCTTTTGTGCTAATTACCTTTTTGATTTAACGGAGCATTTTAACGGAGAGTTGACAGAAGGACGTTTTGCGCAAAAAAATGTAAAGGTAAGAGTGTAATCCACCAAAAAATGAAGGGTAGGGACGTTTTTCACAAAAACATTGAAAGGTAGGGATGTTTTGTGCTAATTACCCCTTTTAAAATGGTCAGGTCAACAATGATTAAAAAATAAATAAAATTATGAGTAAAATTCAAAATTACCCTTATGTATGTTATACAATTACAAAAATATTGATTTGTTTTAAAAAATATATATATATCATTTTACGCTGCAAAGAATTCCAAATACTTTTCACTTAAAATTTTAAAACAAAATCACTTTCTTTACTTGTATACCCCAACACAGATAAAAATTGTTTCATTTTTCATTTGCTTAAACCTTGCAATCCCATAAATTTATCAAACACTTAATAAGATAATATTATTTCTAGTCATCACTTGGAATCAGTAAGTATATTTACGTATTTTTTATTTCGTTTTCATTAAATTGGTAAATTATTTTAATGGTTAAATCTGATTTCGACGTAGGCAAATAAATTTTTACAATTTTAAACAGATCTATAATTTTTTCAAGCAAAAAAGAGAAAAAATTAATCTGCATATAATTAACAGTCAACTAGGAACAGTCCACCAGCCGCTGGCACGACTAGTCCGTCTTTTTTCCAAAACAGCTCGATCGAGCCGTCTGGAAACAATCGGTCGGTCGACTTGTCTTCCCTTTTTTTATCTCAAAATTATATTTTTTTAATAAATTATGTTTTCTAATGCAAATATAGGATTAGCTGCTCTCCCGATTTGTTATTTCTGTGAATTTGAAATGAATGAAAATTATATATGAGTGAAAATAAACGAGTGAAAGACCTATGTATTGCGATTGTGGTAAGATTGAGTACATCATATGTAGAAATGTACCATGATTTACAGAACAAGCTCAACGTCGATTCCTCTCAGTACCGCTTGGAATTAGGATTTCTATTAAATGAGCATACATCCATTTCAATTCCACCATCTGTAATGGTTACTTTCGAAGCTGAATGAAGATTTTTAATTGAATTGAACCAAGATTGCATGACTTCAATTTGCATAACTTTAATTAGAAAGAGTGTCCTCGAGAATGAACACGAAGATCCCGATGGAAGGGATCGTAATGCGAATGATTTTTGAGACACGATGGAAATAGCTTGTGAAGATAATGTGACTATTCCCAAGACATTTGTTCCTCACCATGATCTTTCTTCGATAGTTCAAAACAACGAGAATAAAAATGAATTTAGAAATGAAGATTTAATTTCTTTATCCCGTCGGAGATATGAGTTGGGTGGGAGCTCACGGTTGGAACGAGAACACGGTCCTCTAATTGTTCGCATGTAGTTTTCGATGATGAAGATTTGTATGTCGAGCAACAGTTTGAAACAAAGAAAAATTTTCAAGAAGTTGTACAGTGGATTGTTTTGAAACACAACTTCGCGTTTAAAATGAAGAAATCAAACAAGTCAACGTACACAATTATATGTGTTGACGACACTTGCCATTGGTGTTTATGAGCGATGAAGATGGACACAAATGAGTTCTTTGTAATTTGTAAGTATGTAGGGGAACATGCTTGCGAAGTTGGTATTCATCGAAATCATCACGGATAAGTCCCAGTATGGTTTACTGGTCGACAAATAATGCACAAGTTTTAAAACCTATGAACGATTTATAGACATTGGGACATCATTAACAATATTCGTCGAGAGTATGAGGTTGTTATTAGCTATCAGAAAGCTTGGAATGCCAAAAAATGCGTATTGAATGACTTAATGGGTTTGGTCGATAAGAGTTACGCTAAATTGGCCAGGTATTGGTATTACATGGAGAAATCTAATCCTGGACTGGCATTTTTTTATTGAGACGAAAGGCAAGAATTGCTTCAAGTATTTCTTCATGGCCCTTGGATAATACATTCAAGGATTTTGATATGTGATGCGACCCCTAATTCTAGTCGACAATACAACCCTTAAGACTAGATACGAAGGAAAGTCGATCGTTGCGACATGTCAAAATGCCAACATCCAAATTTATCCTCTTACATTCGGCATAGTCAATGTAGAGAATGATCTAGAGATGCATTCGTTCTTCATGAAGTGAGAGAAGTAATTGGGGACGTTGAGAACCTTGCATTCGTAACTGACCAGAGGCAGTTAATAACAAATGGTATCACCGAACTCTTTTCCGGGGCACATCATTGTTATTGTATGTATCATATACAGAGCAACCTGAAAACTAAGTATTGGGACAGTGACATCGTTGCGTTATTTAGGAAAGCTGCAGAGGCTTACAGTTTTGAAGAATATGATAAGTTCATGGTTAAAATAGAAATTAAATCACATGCTGCATGGGATTATCTAACAAAGATGGAGATCAAACATTGGGTATGATTAAATTTTTCAGGATGTCAAAACAATATGATGACGTTGAACAATGCGTCATCACTCAATGCGTTATTCAATAAAGATCAAGAGTTACCAATTTTCACAATGATTAAGCACATTCGTAACAAGCTATAGTATTGATTTCATGATCGACATAAGGAATCACAGAGTTGCACAGGTATGCTAACCATGGCTGAGGAAGATATTCAAGACTCTAGAGGTAGCGAGAAAGATGTGTGGAACCACTGGATCAGTTTTGTTTCTCTGTGAAATGTGGACATAATATCGGATGCATTGTGGACTTGAATAATAACGCGTGCACATGTAGAAAGTTCCAGTTTGAAAGTTTTCCATGTATGCTGCAGTGGTAGTGGTTATGTATAGAGAATTTTCACCATACATCTTACGCAATTATTATTACATAACTGATTATTAGAGAGCAGTGTATATTGAAACAATATTTCCTCTGCCAAATGAAGCCGAGTGGAAAGTTCCCAACTACATTCTCCTTCATAATAATTGTTGCCATCTAAAGTTGAATCATATACTCCTGGACTAGACGTACGCCTAGGATACCATCTATCGTATAATTTCTCCAATCTCGTAAGTGCGACAGGTGCGACGTAGTAGGGCATACTCGTCGATTTCGTACAAGTCAAATTCCTCGACACAACAATTCAACGGATGTGTAATGTAACACCCCGAATTTTTATTTACTATTTTCACATGAGCCTAAATTCAATAATTATTTTTAGTGAGTCAAATAGTCTATTATTCTATTTATTATTTAATAAAATTTAATTTTTATTTACTATTTTCACATTTTGTTCGTTATTTAATAGTTTTTTTTGTCGAGCATTTGATGTCGTATGTTAAATTTAAATTGATGATTTGAAATCGTAGCATTTCAAGATTTTTATTTGATAACACTTTAAGTTTATTGTCATAAAAAATAAAATAATAAAAAGATTTTTAGTTATTTGTTTGCTTATACAGTCAAATCCTCAAAATTACACATACAATTGTTGCATTATAATGCAAGTCACAATGAAGTAAACAATATTTATATTTTTTTAATAAAGTAATACACAATATACTAAGGATCACAATTGCATTCATACAAATCGCGAGCTAACTTCAACCTCCACATATCTATCCAAGATTAATTTATTGCGTCAATCTTGTCAAAAATTATATATATTTTATTGCGAATATAGCACAATCACCCCTTCAAATAAATAATAATATATTAATCCGATAACATATCGCTAAAAAATAAGTTTTCAAATTAAAAACTTGTAAATCCTTAATATACTCCTTGTCTCGTCATCATCATGTCTTGTACAATGGCTAATCTGTCATTTACTCGAATAATCGCATGTCTACCTATCATGGGAATGATCTTACTCATCGACTCTAGCGTTTGCTCCAATTGATGTTGTGTCAGACAACTATGATAGGAGCCGT